AATTTCATTACCATTAAAAACATTTATTAAGTAATTCCATGGGTAGAGGAATGTTTAGATTTACTGCTTATAGAAGTATTGTGATAGGATAACTTTAACCTATCAGAATTCCCATAAAAATACGACGTCACATCAACCAAATTATATTACATTTTTTGCTAAATTAAAATTTTTAAATAATGGGATGAGATGAAATGTTCGTTGTGTTTGAACATTTAATGAAACAATTGCTAATATATTTTATAGATAGATGGGAAGCTTACATTAGGAGAAAATATCGCTGATAACGGTGGCATTAGACAATCATTCCGGGTAAGCAATTTTATTTCCATTAAACAAGGATAAAAGTTTCCAATTAATAATTAACGATCAGATTAAATTAGTGCTAATTATTTATTTTCAGCAATCTTTTAACTCTTTTATTGCTAAGAGATCAACACATACAATGCTGATGTAATGCAAATATTTTATTACAGTAGTATGTGAATTCGTCTATTTATAGGCATATAGAAAGTATATCGAACAAATCGGTCATCCGGAGCCTCGGTTGCCAGGCATGTCAAATTTCACCGACGATCAAATATTTTTTATTCGTTTTGCCCAGGTTAGCATAACTCGAAACAATGCAAATTATAATCATTTAATTAAGCTACACAGGTAACACTTTATTAAATTAAAATTTCACCACAGTACATGGTAATTAAAGCTCTCTTAAAGATTGGGGCTTAAAGAGAAAGAAATCCCAAATATCCCTGCCGATAACAAAAAGAAAGAAAGATACTTTTCAGGTTTGGTGCAGTCATATGACGAAAGAAGCCGCAAAAATTGTACTACCTTCTAGTGAACACAGTCCGAATATGTATCGCGTCAACGGTCCACTTTCAAATTTACCTGAATTTAGCAAAGCTTTTAATTGTCCACTCGGAAGTTCTTTAAATCCTCAAAAGCGTTGTTCTATTTGGTAGTATGTTCACATATAATTCATATCATTTATCCAAGTGATTCATTCCTTAGTTGTACAAATCGAATAAATTTATTGTCAACAATAATGATATGCAAATTAATTGCGCTGAATTTGTGTTTCCTAACAATAACTAAAGCTAAACACTGATTTGATTATTTATCTTTGCATCAAATATTATTTTATCACCAATCTCAACGATCGATAAACAAGAAAGCAATGGCAAATAATTTGGAAAAATTAAAAAATTATATTAATGATCATTAGGTTAGGACTTTTTGACAAATTTGAATGAGCGTTTCACTCGACGTCCATTTAATGGATGTTGAAAACGACAATTTCTTGGAACAATTCGTCGTAATAATTCCAGCTGTGTGTAAAGATGGAATTTAATTTCATTTGCTTAAAAAAGTGTTAACAGTTATTTCAATGAAAACTCTTTACTATATGTCATATAATTCAATATTAACAAATTATCAAACATTTTCTTGCTAAACAATTAATTTATAATATTGTTTATATGTAAATAAAAATTGCCATAAAGATAATGCGAATAGCGAGAGAAAGAGAAAGAGAGACTTTGGAATTTTCTTAAAATAATTCATTTATAATAAATTAAAAAATGGAACGATTATGAATTAATTGGAAAGGCATTATCTAACTATAATATTATGTTTATTGCAAAAATTACCTGATTCAAACTTATTGTAATGGGATGTTTCAGTACCGTCCATATGACACATTCATGAAATGGTTTCGAAGTCAGCGATCCTTCGTAGGTATAATAGGAAAGCTTTGCTGAAATGGGAAATATTGATTGAAATTCTGAATCATATATTCTTTCTTATGAATTAAATTTCATTCTAAGCAAATAATTTTGTTATATTTCACGCAAACATATTCATTAAATATTGGCACTTAACCTGGAAGTAATTTAAGTGGATCAAATTTTGGCTTCAGATCGACACTGCTTAAGCAACCCAATGAATTGCAAAGGCCATCGATGATTGGAGAAAAATTTTCATTATCATCGGAATCTTCCTGAATCACTTTTCAAATTAATTACTCAATCATTATTTTTAAAATGCTCGTGTTTTTGTTTAAATAAAAATTGCAAATATCTTCTGCCTATTGTGACTAGATACATAGAATTGCGGATCTTTGTAGCTCTAAATCTGGGTCTGGGTCTGACTTATTTTTATCTGACTCGTTGCATACGAATACGGTTCAAGGCAGTCAGCAATTGGAATGATTAAAAATTCCCTTATTCAAGCAAGCTTTTAATATCGACCGTCTTATTATTTCTATTAATTTAGCTGTAAATGACTGCTGATTAATTTTCTTGAGTAGTAATTCAAATAATCAAATGGGTACTGAGAGAACGGATGGAACAAATGAAACTGAAAACCACAAACGAACTTGCATGAAAATTGCCAATACTGTTAATCCATCACATTTGTTTAAGCATTTAGAAAATTCGCCGTATTTTTGGTTCCAAAAAACAAAATGTAGCTGCAAGGAATAAAGGTTAAACAAAGGTTACCTAATGTAGTTGAAAGGGAAAAAATGTTCGAAAATTTCATTGTTTCATTTTTATTTTCTTTTGAAAATCGATATAATTGCCAACCTCGGCGGAAAAGCCTTTCCCATTAATGAAATGTTCACTACCGCAATGCTTTCCTGTTCCCCAATGAGCATGTAATTCCCAAAGTTTGTAAACATCTGGAAGATGTGGCGCAGTTAATTCTGAAATTGAAATATACCCATTCATTTTTTTAGTCGCTCATGCAACCTTTTTATCAATTTCAATTATCCAAATGAAATATAAAATGGAATAAAATTTACCTGAAGTACATCCTTCATCAGTTTTGCATGAAAAACCATTGCCAGTAGCCTAAAATTCAACAATTGTAATTTTCTAATTATCAAATAAAAAATCGCAAGAAATACTGAAAGATTTTTGCATCATTTGACCTCAATTGTTTTAAAATCGTTGATTGTATAGGA